TATCTGCTAATATAAACCTAGTATAGACTAGTTTACCTATTTAGAAAACCCTAACTGTTATATAATTCTTATAGGTTTAGGATAGACTTTAGTCCTTCTTATGCTCCTCTGGCTTTGGCATTAAAGACCTTAGTAGGTCTAAGGCGACCTGATCTATCTAAGATAGGGATATTATCCTGGTAGATTATATAACCATAGCTGGCAGCTCTATCTGACAATAGAGAACCATCTAAGTATATAGGTCGTGGTAAGCAGGCTGACAGGGTGGTGCCGTTTGCCTCGCCAGAGGGTGGGTATTGTCTAGTGATTTGAGTTATGTGGAGAACCTAAATTGCTGTGATTTAAGGACCTAATTAACTAGTAATATCTTGCTCTCCTAGTAAAAGATAGTAATAGGTATTATCTTCTAGGTAGGTAATATAGCTCTTATAAACTAGTTTAAGGCCTTATTTATTCTTTATATAAGATACTGGTTACTTAATAATATGTCTTTAATAGGCTAGCTCTATTGTAGTCTAGTTATGCCTAGGTACCACGCTTCAGAGCTATAGAGCAGCACTGGCTTAACATATGCCTTAACGGCGCTTCATATAGCTAGCAGTGGGTTATATTTTATATTGGTAAGTCCTTATAAATAATAGAGCAGCTGCACTTTGCATCCGCTCCTCGTCATCAGCTCTTAAGAAGTTCTTAAGCCCCGGTTTTAAACGTATCTCTTCGAGCAAGGATGACATCCGTTCTCCAATATCGTATCGTTGACTCATTGCGTTCCCCCAAACCTCCTCACCCAGTTCGAAACCAGATCTCCGAGCAGCAGCTTCCTCCAGCTCTTCTCGAAGACGGTTATACCTATCAGCTAGTTTAGGCAACTCTCTCTCCAGGTCATTGATGTCGGCTCGAAGCACGTTGATCGAAGAAGCCATGACCCCTCTAGCCATTTCAAGAAACTCAAGGGCAGCAACCGCGCTTTTCCCCACATCCAATGCAATCGCTGCTGCCTGGGTAGCCAAACCCGAAAGCTTGGAAGCTTCACGCTGGAGGTCAGCATTCTTGAGTGAAAGTGGTCTCAACACTGAGAGGATAGTAATGGCCTAGGAACCAACTTCATATGCCCTTTCCCACTCGTGATTCGAAACACAACTCTGCATTAGAGAGCGTCCTGCTTGCACACGAAGAAACATGGGGACACTTGACTGATCAAGTGTCAATTGATAAAATGAAATGGCTTCTTGCAGGTCGTCGGTCGAACTATACTCGAGATATCGTAATCGAAGTCTGTCTGCAAGATTGAAGTTTCGCAGCGCTCTATCAGGATGCCCCTCAGGCGTTGCGGCAAGTGCCTGCCTTCCGATGTGAATTGACTCTTCGAGACGCTCCATGTTTCCAGTCTTGCCATATGCCTCGAGGAATAATCCACCAAGAGTACTCAGACGAATGGCACGCCCCATATCGCCGTCAGCAGTCAAATTAATGGCTTTTGTACCAACACCAATTGCTCTTTGGAAGTCATCCTGGCGACCCATCTGTCTATATCGGAGACTTAGAATAATGCCAATGTTTCCAAGCGATCGGGCGCGACTCTTCGGTTTCGTCGGTAGCTGATTGAGAAGTTGATCCATCACCACCTTGGCGGCTTGGAAATCTGCTTCATCCAGGGTCTGAGAATATTTCTCCCCGAGTCGATCGCACAAAGATTGTAACCTTCGCTGGCGATTCTTGGAGCTAACTGGAGTTTCTTGGATAGCCTGTTGACATGCTTTGATACTCTCATCAAGATCTGCAGATGTTCCGGTCCTCAAATATCGCTGAACAAGACGCTGCCCAAGAATCCACACATGTCTCGCATGTTCCTCGGAGTTGTTGTCTGGGAGGGTGACGATGTGCTGTGAAACTCGGATGGATTCTTCAAGAGCCTTTTGTTCACCGAAGGCCAAGTACTCTTTGAACAAGGTATCGCCATAACTTTGCAGTCGCGAAGTGTACTTTGGATGGTCGAACGGTGTAACCTCCAGTATGGACTTGTGCATCTCGAACACCTTTCCCAAATCATCTCCGTCGTGGAGCCTGATTGCCTTTTTGCTGATGAAATGGCATGCAGATTGCAAAATTGTAGCATATGACGGATCATCCTTCTGCAGTGTCTCCACAGCCTCCAAAGCTACCCGTGAAGCTTCTATAGCATCGATTTCAGACTCTGTCGCATCGCAACGAAGGCTTAAGCCGAATGCGAGGCTAATGAGCCACTCCGATCTTCTTCCGTCGTCTATGGAAGTGCTATCGATAGCTTGTTGAAGAAGAGTGATGGATTCCTCGAGAGCACTCAAGTCCTCAAGTGGTCGCTATAATAGGTAAAACTTTCGAAGTGCGTGTGCAAGCAAAGTCGTCTCTGAGTAGTGTTAGGGGCCATCTGGCGACATGCTCTCCAAGCTATGTCTCAAACTTGCAATAGCCACTTCCAACTCATCCAAGGTCAGGCTCTCGGCTAAATCGTCTGCCATCGTTCAAAGTTTTCGAAAGGGACTATGATAGAACTTCCGGCGATATACTATCCGTCAGTATTGCTATATTAGGACTAGTGATGTAGGCAGCTTGTCCAGTGTTCCATTCGACTGTCTCATAACATCGACGATGAGAGTTTAAAGCAGGCTCCCACGACACAGCCTTCCCACCAACTGATAAAGGCGTCTGCATAAAACCTCTCACCACAGAAAGGTGGCATTTCCTGACTGGCTGGGATAATCCAGCGTGGCTGCATACTGCAGGACATTTTCAACTGTGGCATAAAACGACGAACCAGTTTAGTGATAGTAATTGAGAGTCGCACTTTACACGTGAAGGGGGGTCAGCAGATGAGTTGTCAAGATGAGGCTCTGCGTTGCGGATTTCCGCCTACTGATATACCAGACACTTGAGTTAGTGTCATAGAAGCATAAATAGCTGATAATATCCCGTTATTGAGCTATAACTATTTATTCTCAGATAGAGCATAGCTTTAGCACCTCTCATATTTCAACAACACACCAACTAATCGTTACGAAATTTCAGGCTGCTTCCACAATGTCTCATTATAGGTACAGTCTCTAACACGATATATTCAGTTGAGTATACAAATTAATTCTTTGCCTTGTTCTAGCAGAGGACGTCTGACAGAGATCGGGGACCTGACAACAGGCCTAGAGACCCAAGGGGGTGAAGCCACAAGACAGGGACGCGAGGCTCAATCAGAGCGTGAAATTAGAGAAGCGCAAGATAGACTCAGAACCATACGTCGTAGCTCAGAGGACTTGAGAGGTGAGCTCGAACGAATGAAGCAAGCCAAGACTCGGGCCAGCACATCGAGACGGGACGTTAGACCTTCTTTCCAAGCACAGCCTTCGTCATCTAGCGGACAATCCCACCGACAAATGTCCAGCTCCTCAAACACTGGCTCAACATCGGCGCCGCAGAGATCTAGAGACGAGAGTAGGATGGCACAAAGTTCAGGTATACCTCCGTCAACAACACGAGAGACAGGTTCATCCAGACAAGGGCACTAACGAGCGTCGAGATCAGAGGATCTAGCGCCAGCTACTTCAGCAACATATGGTCAGCCTGCGACTAACCGTCCCGGAGCATTGAGTGGACATGTAAATAGCCTGAGTTCCGACGCTCAGTTATACTATCAGACTCCAGGAGGATTCGGGCTCAACATGGCACCTCAAGCGTCAGGTTTGCAAGCAGCACCAGTTCAACAAGAACCATATTATCAATGATATACACCAGGTGTAACAGCTCCCCGTGCGCCAACACCCTCTGGACAAGCATCATCGAGTAGCTCAAGCGAGGCTGAATACGATGGCGGCCAGGGCTCCCCCTATGCTGGGAGTCGAACTCGATTCCAAGACACTGCTGCGGCTCTTCCTACTCGTTCAAATACAGAACGTGTCCAAGGGCATAGATCGGATCATGGCCCTGTATCAGGAAGTGGAGACTATAATCCACCGGCAAACCCAAGCCAGGGAACGAGTAGGCCATCACACTCTTCACACAGACGATCATCGTCAAGTCCTTCCAATACCTTCGCAGGAAGTAGTCGCCTACAATCAACAGGAAGGCCGGCACCGTCGAGTCTAGCCATGGGCCAGCCTGAGCAAAGGGACGTACCAATACCACCCAACACAGCGAATCCAGCGAGGCAACCGTATCGATTTCCTCCGCTGAGCGCCTCAGGGGCAGCCAATCCAGGTTACTATGGATCAGGTGCATCAGGGAATCGATTGCCACATTTACGGGCACCTTCCAACGTTGGCCCACTGACAACGCAGATGCAACAGCTGGGTTTCAACGCATATCCGCAATCAAGAGCTCCCACAGCATCAGGATCAGGTCTACCACTGTCAGGGAGTCCTTTGGGGTATCAGCAACAACCTCCTCTTCGGCGAGCAAGCAGTCCAAACACGCGCACAACCCTCTCTCAGAACATATCTGCCCCACGGCGGATGTCCACACCGCCTCTAGGAGTTAACGCTATGTCAAGTTCGTCTAGGTATCCCGTCAGTCACCAGCAAACACCGACCACCAGAAGGGATATGAGCCCAGGCCGTTCAAGTCCTCAAGTTCATAGTACTCCAAGACAATCAGGAACACGGCCCCTGTTTGGAGGATCGATTTCGGCCGCAGGCTCATCAATCCATCCCGCAGGCCAATCCGGGCGACCTAGTGGACCAAGAGGAAGGGATTTCAGCCCACTGAGAACTGGACATTATGGTACGTCAAGTCATACGCGTGGAGTGACACCGCCGAGAGGTACCAGAGGGAGAAGGCAATAATCATAGGAGTAACAGCTAGGAAAGGTTAAGTTGTTTGTATAGTGTAATGTTTCTGCAGGAATGGCGTTTCTCGACTTATCATTACCGATTGATCTCCATACTCGCCTGTACCAGAACGTCCATGATGTGAATTTAATTGTGCGTTTCCACCTCGTTGTTCTCTCAATAGAACGTCTTCATAGTCAGCCATGATATTAATACAAGGAGATATGTTAGAACGGGCTAATGATAGCACGTCATTTGTAAGGCGCACAAACGCTCAAACACCTGGTATCATTCCCAGAAAGCTCCGTTGGCTGTTGCAAGCAGCGACCTCTGAGCCTTGTTCACGTTGCATACGTCCATGCCTCATCCACAGTGATACCATAAAGAGAGCAGCGGTATTAAACAGCAGCCTACCGGGCCAAGTCGTGCCTCGTTGCAATCTCTTTCATGAGGTCCAATTACTTCCACGTCTCTTATTGAATCCCATGAATTGCCCAACAAGCGATGAGAGAACGAAGAGCGAGACCAGCCCTCCATGCCAGCGTCATTAATATGCACATCTATCACGCTGCGCATTGAGGAACATTGAGGAACATTTTCTGTGCTGTGTATATAAATGGATTTCATTAATGTGTTTCGCCTACTCCAGCCGTGCCTTTGATACATTTGCCATCTTCTCCAACTCTTTAATATCCTGAAACTCTCCATGAATTATACCCGAGTTCATGTCATGCCGACAACTCAACAGTACAAGGGCCGATGATTTCCAAAGCGGCACCTCGTGCTTGCTTGCAGTCCCTACTATTGTACAGACTGCAAATATCAACGCAGCCAGCTCGATGACCGCAGGGCCAATCAACCAGTACCATCGGATTAATACAAATATCTCGCTTTCTCTTCTGACTCCTTGAGCCAGTTTCTTATTTGGCCCTGAACGGAGATAGTCGGTCATGCCCAGTGCCATGTTATCGAAAGCACGGGTGAGATTTGCGTCCCCAGCCAGGGCGGCACTGAGTCCAGGATTATTGTTCTTTGCGTTTCCGCTCACGAATTCTGATTGAAACGTGGTGGACTCGAAAAAGTCTTGCAGGGCCTTGATATCGATGATGGATATCTTGAACGGAGGTAGGTTGGAGGATTTGTTGCTCACAAGATGGGTTTGAGCCATGGGGTCCTCCCAGGACCAATTCGTATGTCGAGGGTCCATTTCAGCAACCTTTCTGAAAGAAAAGGTGCTACCGTTCGCTTCGGCCCTCGAGTACTCATAGGCAGTGAAACCCACGGTACATTCCGTGATATTGATATCAGTAGCGTTGAAGCTGGTATCATATCCTGACCTCCAAACTGCGATTCTAACAATGTCATCCAACGAGGTCGTGATATTATTAGGATGGTCTAGATGAGTACGTGTCGCGTTGATTCGAAAAGTGGTTTGGGAGTCGGTCAGTACATGCTGAGTTGTAAGTGTGATGTTTCCCGGTGTTGTGAAATTGCAATTGCGATCGAACCGCATCCCTGGTCTCCCTTCTGGTTTGATACAATGTTTTGTTTCCAACGCCGACATGGTGACATTCTTACACGTACTCTTAAAGCCCAGGGATACATAAGAGTCTCTCCAGAGACAGGCGCCACCACAGTTAAACACTGGAATGGAACTTATGTCATAAAGGCCTTGAAGGATAGCAGATTGCATTTGTGTATCCGGTGGTATCTCTAGGAAGAGCTGTCAGTATATTGCTTAAACCAATGTACCTTGGTGGCCGGGCCTACCGGACTGAGCACCCGTTGTCCTGTTTCTATCATATGCGTGTGCATATCCAAAGGTTGAATCGTTACTTGGGACATCTACCATCCTGGATTCCAAGCTGACCACAGCCTGAGAAAGTGGAGAAAATCCTAGACGGAGGATCGTTATAAAAGCTCCCAACGTTGCAAGATTCCATGGAACTCTGAAGATGAGAAGGATAGCTCCATACGGACCTCGACTGGCCTCGTCGAATCTCTCAACATTATACACGCTCCGGGAAGATCGTTTGAAGTGAAGCCATTTCAGCTGCCCGATAAAAGCGCTCACATTGTGCATCATGGCCGCCGTGCAAGCTGTCGACAGAATGGCGATGGTTGTATTTATAGAGATTGAAAGGGGCCATTCGGAGTAAGGTTTGTTGCTCATGCTGCAGAATATCGCAACCATTCCAGCGAACAAAGCGAGAGTCGTGAAAGACGACAGAAGTTCCAAGCCCCACCCATAAGTAGAAAAGGTTCCATGACGGACATATCTGTTTTTCCGAGATGATTCTCTGGTATGATCCAATTCGGTGTAATCTGCGTCTATGTCGCGACCTGCGGTCCGCTCATAAAGATGGGATTTGGGCTGCATCTTGTTGTCGCAGTAGTTGGGATAGAAAGACGGTCAAAAGTTGAAAAGACACTCTACGGGCCAAAATAAAAGGAAAGATCAGCTCCAACAATACATACCGTGCGTGAGGCCCTTTCTGAGCCACTGTAGCGTTGCACATGAAACTGCGCCTTGACACAAAGCGCTTACAGCTGGAACTTGGACCAATCCTGGGAAGTATGTGACGTGGGGGCTGCAACGCTGACTCCATGTGCAGCTTGGCAATAAGGCTGAGCGAAGATACCAAGACTTCTGGGGCGGGGTGTAGCGGCTGGGGGCTTTCAAGCTGTCTGCAGCGGCAACAGTATTTCTAAATAAATAGAAATTTGCTAAAGTTTCTCTGAGGATCTGGAAGTAGTTACCGATATCTTGGCCAATGCAATACCAACAGCTCAATCGTCACAGGGAGGTGTCATCCGAGCAGGCGTCAAAGTAGTCCGATGGAAAAATCATCACCACCGTATTACCCTTCCCCGCCCAGCGACATCGTTGAGTTTCTCCCGCCACGTCCGTAGGACAACACGCGCCTCTCTTCTCCCCGTAAAAACAAATGTAATGTTAAATATGCGAAACATTGGATTGATCTCCTCCTCTCCTTCATGCCCAACGGTCTCAGTATCCAAGCCTTGCTCCACTAAGTATTCCCAAGCCGCCTCTCTCTCTCTCTGCATAATCGCTTCGGCAAGACTTGCAGAGATGACACTATCCCAACCACCCTCTAGCCGCGGGCGCCGGAGAAGATCCACAGCACGCTGGCGGGTTGCCTGTCCGATGCCGCTGTGAGCGACTAAGAAGAGTTGCTGAGTGTAAGATACCCTGCGAGTCTTGATAGGATCAAGATCCATGATTTCTTCAGCGAGGTCAACTATAGAGGTGTACAGGTCAGGCAAGCCATGTTGACGATCGACCATGTCAGGCTCATCGGGATCTTGAATAAGTAGGAGACGGTTGGTGTTATACAAGAGGCGCAAAGGGAGAATAGTATGCTCTTCTAATTGGGTTGCAGGTCCTGAGCTTCGGGCTATGTCATATTGGAACATGCTGATTGCTTTCCTGATTTCGTTGAAGCATCGTGTATGCACCTCCTGTCGCGCGACCAACATGGACAGCCCTTCAGGTCCGGACTTGCCAGTCTGAAGATCCCCGAGATGTTTGGCATGCTCTTGGGAGAACAGGACTAGTCCACTCATCAAAGACTCTGCAGCGCGATAGGCTTGGTTAACGTCTTCTGATGTTAGGCGGGGCGAGGACCGTGGCGCTGTATACGATCGCCATGCGTTGAGCGTCTTGTTTTGTGAGAGCAGAGTCAGATTACCGGTAATGCCGCCATTATCAAGTGCATTTGCATGAAACTCAAGGTTGATCAGAATAGACTGTATCGGAGCAAGTGATACCGGAACTGGTACAATGGTAGTCTCCTGGACTTGGTCCTGCTTTGAAGTTTTGGTGCCATGGTCCTGAAGCTCGCGGAGGAGATTGCATCCAGCCTGGAGATGTATGCGCGTCTGATCATGAAGCCCTTTTATAGTACATACATATGTGAATATAGTACTCACAACAAGTGCTCTCCACCGATCTGCATGTCTCGGCGATCGTGACTCGGTGAGGCAGTGGATAGACGAGTTGAACTGTTTTAGAGCAAATATGCTCCGCGACCCGAGTCCATTTTCTGCAAAGTCCTCATGGGCAGAACCAAGGCTGACAACGGCGTGCCAGATGGCTGCATCAGAGAGACAGACGCGGGGCACTTCGGCAAGCCAGAAGTCGGCGTAGAAAGCGCCGGCGAGGGATGGGGCTGTGACTTCAAGGAAATAAGTGTAGCTGCGTACTTCCTCGGGGCTCTGACGTGGTAGGATAAGCTTGAGATCGGCGACAGGGCTAGGAGAGTCAGAGTGTAGGGGGGATGGTGATGAAGATGGTGACAGGGACGAGGAAGACGTGTAACCGTCGCATGTTCGGCCAGTAGAGGTACACCGATTACAGGCAGGTTTACCTTCATCGCACCGTACCCTGCGGATCCTATCATGCATGCATGGTCAGTGCATCAAGTTTCTGCGGCGAAGTATCAAGGATGAATCAAGTAGGGCAACTGACTTGCAGGTTCGACAGCCCGTCCTGGCCTTGGTGTGATAGGCTCGCCGCCGCGGTCGACTTGCACCAGTCGCAGTGGCCACTTCAGACCCGACGTTAGCCATGGCGACGGTATCAAAAAATGTCAGCCAATGCTTTAACTTCAAGTAAATGCATCAGTCACTTTTTGTTGTGCTGTGATTTCTGCAGAAGTTTTCAAGCCGAAGACAGAAGAAAAGAAGACTCGTTCCGCTTGGTGATCCTAACATCAGGCCTGAGCTAAAGAGCGGGGATACAGCTTGGCGCGAGTTGAATTAAACGAACCGGCCAATCACAGCTAAGCTACGACCAAGATAGACGCTGATTGGTTCGTTTCCTCGTACAAGAAATACAGGGCATATCCGGCACTGTCATCTTGGCATGTCAAGTTATAATGAATGCCTGCGAGGCTGAGTTCCTGTCTCTTGAACGAGCCAACCACTCAGATAGCTTCTTGCATCTTCCAAATTGGTCATTGGGTAGATCTATGTATTGTTGCCTCGCGTTGACGCGGCCCCTATCTACATGCCCATAGTATAAAGTGGAAGATCTCACCGTCTCTGCAATGGTTATTTCTTATTCCATAATCACACTATACTCTAGTTTTGACCATGCACCATCTTAATATCCTTCTATCCCTCGGCCTCGCTGTCCTCCCCCAGCAGGCCCAGGCGCAACAGAGTCCCTGTCCTCTCTTGGGCGCCATCTTTCCGCCCGTCCAGCACCCGCTAAAGTCCAATTCTTTCTCAAACACCATCGCCCACCTCAACACCATCTTCAAGAATCTCGATAAAAACGGCACCCTTGATGAGTTCAACACCACTTTCTATGTCCAGGCCTTCTCCGCTTCAGACACTCTCTTCCAGCATGGATACATCCCTTCCTCTATGAAGGGTTTCCTAACCTCAGGAACGCTCAATGAGAATACTATTTTCCGCATCGGGAGTGTTTCAAAGCTTCTTACGGTTTATAACCTCCTCGCTGAGGTGGGAATGAAGCGTATGAATGATCCTGTCACCAAGTGGGTCCCTGAGCTTGCGCGTGCCGCCAAGAAGAACAAAGGTGATCCTGTCCGCAGAGTCCAGTGGGATGAGGTTACTATCGGGCAACTTTCCGGGCATTTATCAGGCATTAGTCGGAACTGTAAGTGCTGCTCCAATTAGCATGGAATACAGCTCTCCTAACCTCATATATAGTCGGGCTCTTTGACGTGAGTTCTTTATTCGAATCCACTCACGAGAACCCCGAAAAATATGGACTCCCTGTCCTTGACAACAAGGAGAAGCTAAATTGCAGCATCTCAGATCCATCCCTAGGACCTTGCTCCCGTGAGGGTATGCTTACTATCCATCCCCGATTGGCCGCATGTGCTAATATTTGTCTGCAGAGTTCTTCCAAGGCATTACTGCTAAAACTGCCTTCCCTATCACATCCACTGGAAACACCCCCGTGTACTCTAACATGGCATACCAAATTCTCGCCTACGCGCTAGAGGGTATGACCGGAAAGTCTTTCGAAAAGTCCATCAAATCCTCACTCCTCGATCCTCTTCGTATGAAGCGTACAACCCTGGAGGCCCCCAAAAACAAGAAAAACGCCATGATACCCGAGAATGAGCTGCTCTCCTGGTGGAATCTCACCACAGGCGACGCTAGTCCGTAGGTGTCTCCCTGTTTCTCTCCTGTTTCTGTTTTGCAGGGCTAAATCTTGACAGCTATGGCGGCATGTTTTCTACGGCTGCAGACCTCACACGCCTCGGCCAATCTATCCTCAAGTCTTCAATCCTTGACCCCGCCACCACCCGCTCCTGGCTCAAGCCTATTACTCATACCGCGGACCTCTACATGTCCGTTGGAATGCCTTGGGAGATCCGCCGCATGCACCTCCCCCTTGGTCGCAGCGGTACGCGGATCGTCGATCTCTACACCAAGAATGGCGCCTTAGGACTTTACACTGCGATTCTTGTCCTTTCTCCAGACCATGAGATCGGCTACGTGGCGCTTATTGCAGGGCCTGGTCGTGCCGGTTTGCTGAGCTACCTTCCCGAACTTCTCACGGAGACACTGCTGCCAGCGGCTGAGAATGCGGCGCGTGAGACGGCCGTTGCGCGGTTTACAGGCACTTTTAAGGGTCCTGAGGAACATCTGACGGTCGCAATGGACGATACACTCGTGGTGCGTAACTGGACCCGTGGGGACGTCGATGTACTAGCCATGCAAGCTGCTATGCAGTATCCGGGGCTGGAGGTATCAGTTGTCCTCAGGCTGTACCCAATGGGATTAGAAGGGAACGGAAGAATGTCTTTCAGGGGTGTCTTTGAGGTAAATGCGGTGGGTGATTCGGAAGCACAGCCTGATGCGAATGCGACAGAGGAAAGTGCTGGTCCTTTCAGTGGTGGCTGCTTGTCATGGGGAGGAGTGGACTCCCTGACCTATGGTAACATTGGGATTGATGATTTTGAGTTTGAGGTTGATCAGAATGGCAAGGCAACTGGACTGACTGCAAGAGTCATGAGAGAAACTCTCAAGAAGGTTTCTTGAGTCTATTTATATATACAGGACTCTGATGTTGACAGTACTGTTATTCTAGCTTTAGAAAAAGCTGCCTTCTTTTCCATGTTCGATTTAGTTTTCCTTTTGCTATTTTTAATATATCTTCTTTTCTTCTTTTATTTTCTTTTGAAGATTTCCAATTGAACATCGACACAAACACTTTGGTCATGCCAGGGACTTCAGGCCATCTGTTCATAGTCCACTGGCTCACATGCGACAACGGAAAACATTATTTCAAAACTCCAAGAGATTGACATTAGCTCGCAACTGCCGACAGGTGCTGAACTCTTTACTGTAATGACCGATGCTTCTGGGAACATTTGGTTCACCACTGGACAGCTCACTGCCGCATCGGCAAGCCAGTAGACTGACACTGTTATTAGATGTATTGACAGGAAAAGCCGTCAGGTCTACCAGACTCGTTTCACAAACCAAGTCGTTGAGAACGGGTTTGCTGTTAACGGAAAAGATGTCTATCTTGTCACTGGACCTGCCGGCACCGCTGCTGATGCCATTGGTTTTGCCTGGTCTCTGAGCTGGTCGTTCTGGATCAGAGAAACGCGCATCAATGTCTATACCAGTGGCGTCTGTAAATTTTCTTGGAATCTGGATATCCGAACTGAAGCACCTGCCACCCTTTCTACACGGAGTGGGCTTATACACACAAGACAATAATCTCGCCGCGGATGGCCAATATGACTGGTATGTAGCGACAATTGATCTTCGAACAGGCGAGGAGAAATGGAGAGTCAGAACCGGAGCTGGCGGGAGGTTTAATGACGTCGCTCTTATAGCCCAGATGGAAAGTTTATACAAGCTGTTATTGGAGGCCCTGCTATTGTAAAGGATAGCCAGTTATATAATAAATTAACTACTTCTTTCTACATACCGTCGCATTCTTTCAGGTAGTCTTTAAGACATTTTCTAATATAAGGGAGAATTTAAAATTTCTCATCTCGCAGCTTCCGATTTCTTGGCCAAATCACAGAATCTTACATAACCGATAATCCAGGGATGATCTTCCTACATTCTATTAGCCTGATTGGTTTAATGATAGTCGCTGCAGCTAGATTCTGATCTACATTACATGTCTATGTATATAAATTCCTGATCTCAATAGCAAGGTGAAGGAAAAGGTGTCAGGTCGTGGGTCACTGGGGTCTCAGCGATGCCTGCGTGATGTAGTGCCCTTACGGTGAAGGATATTGTTAGGTAACTTTTTTTTGACGCTAAGGACCTGTGCTAACTAAAGGGGGTATTATTCGGCCTGGGGGCAAGGGCCGTGTTTGTGGTTTTTACCCCGTACAGCTAGACTAATTGGAGACATAGAAATGGTGGGAAGTGGCTCCCCATGGGGAATGCGGGTGTATTGCCAGGCTAAACAGCCACCGACGAGGGCATTAGCCGAACTGTTAAGTCTATTGGTTTGAAGGAAGAGGGGGATCGTTTCGCTTCAAGGAAAACTTGAGAAAATGATGCGTATCGGGCCGACATAGACCCTGGATCAGTCCAGACTATTTCCTAGCTCATCTCGTGGGCTGATGTCTAATCCGAATAACTTCCCATCTGTCGTGGATCAAAGCTTGTTGTAGTTTAGAGTCATGGATTGTTGTTGGACACACGGCTCGGCGATATTGATGAACATGTTATCCATAAGCATATATAGAGATGCATCTCCCAACTCATTGCTAACGCTTCGATTAACAGAATCATCACATTCAATCACATTATCTTTCCTCCTCTTACAGTTGTACCAAGATCCAGCAAGCATCTCTACAAAATGGAGAAGAAGGACACCAGCTCCATCCACCAGGTCGAGCTGCAGACGGCCTTGACCGAAGTTGCTAAGACAGCAACAATCCATGACTCTAAACTACAACATGCGGCAATGGAGGGTGCGGCAGATGAACACGAACTTTCCATTCCGGACGCCATCAAGGCTTATCCTCAGGCTATCATGTGGGCACTTGTCTCGTCTACCTGCGTTATTATGGAAGGCTATGACACGAATCTATTGTCCAACTTCTTTGCTTATCGTGAGTATAAAGGATCGAGATGCAGGAAAACATGTTGCTAATCATGTGCCATTAGCTTCATTCCTCATTAAATACGGACGGTATGTTGGGGTTTCTCCCGAAGTCCCAACTGGATATCAGTTGACTGCTGCTTGGCAAGCCGGACTGTCACAGGGTGGTAGTGTTGGCTCCATCTTTGGCTGCCTCATCAGCGGGTATCTTGTGACCAAGTACGGTTCCCGAAAGGTACAGCTAGGAGCCCTCGTTGCTCTTTCGCTTGCCATATTTGTCGTCTTCTTTGCTCCGAGTCTGCCTGTCCTCGTCGTCGGTGAAATTCTCTGCGGCTGCCCGTGGGGTATCTTGGCAACCACCGCTCCAGCATATGCATCCGAAGTCCTCCCAACAAGCCTCCGAACTTACATGACATCCTACACGAATATGTGCTTCATCATTGGTCAACTGATCTCTGCGGGTGTGCTCAAGGGCCTCTCTACCCGTACAGATGAATGGGGTTACAAGATTCCTTTTGCCCTGCAATGGATCTGGCCTGTATTCCTCATTCCTCTCATCTGGATGTCTCCAGAGTCACCTTGGTACTTGGTCAGAATGGGCAGACTTGAGGAAGCTGAACAGTCTCTCCGTCGTCTGCAGTCTCCCAAAGAAACCAACATCGATCCTCGCAAGACTCTCTCCACCATCGTATACACCAATAATCTCGAGCAGCGTCTGAATGTTGGAACGAGCTATTGGGACTGCTTCAAGGGCACTGAGCTTCGTCGCACCGAGATTGCCTGCGTTGTCTTTGCTGGCCAGATTCTTTGCGGAATTTGTTTCGCCTATAACAGTTCCTACTTTTTCTCCCAAGTCGGTCTGGGCACGAGCACGACTTACTCTCTCGCATTGGGTGGCACTGGACTCGCCTTTTTCGGTTGTCTTGTGAATTGGTTCTTGCTCATGCCGAACTTTGGCAGGCGGACAATTTACGTCTGGGGCATGGCTGGCATGTGCTGCGTGCTCATGATCATCGGTATCCTGAATGTGTGGACTCATATTCACGCCGTTGCTATGAGCCAAGCCTGTCTAACCTTACTCTGGACCTTTATCTTTCAACTCTCTGCTGGCCAGCTTGGATGGGCACTTCCTGCTGAGATGGGTTCTACAAGGCTGCGGCAAAAGACAATTTGTCTTGCCCGAGACTCCTCCAACATCATGGGTACAATTGGTGGCGTTTTGCAGCAGTATTTCATGAATCCCCAGGCCTGGAACCTCAAGGGATACACAGGGTTTGTCTGGGGCGGCACTTGCTTTGGCATGTTTGTATGGAGCTACTTCCGGCTACCTGAGACCTGGAACCGCTCGTACCATGAGCTCGATGTCCTTTTTGCTAAGAAAGTACCAGCACGCCATTTTGCTAGTACTACTGTAGATCCCTTTGATGTTGATGCTATTGATGGAATTACCGGCAAAATCACTACTCAAGCTGTCTAAGTGGTTGAGATAGCAGGCAACAAACCTCAACCAATACAGCATAACACCTTCGGGTAGTGCGAGGTGTAACAGTGTTTGTCTTCAAAGTTGTCTGCTTGTTTTTCTTATCGAGGTTATTTGATCCTTATCTGTAGTAGATAGTATCGCAACTGACTAAGTCCGTCTACACTACTGCTATCTATCTTTGTCCTTTATGTTCCATTTACCTTGTAATACCAAGCTTTAAAATAATTTGCGTACAAATCTAGTACCAGAGACCTAGATGCATTTAAACAGTAACCATTAGCATCAAATAGCTAGACAGACTGGTATTAACAAAAAGGAACTCATATAACAACATGCTCCATTTTGGTCGTGTATTTGTGAGTATCAGTCTTGTCATGAGACTAGACCCATTTGTAAAACTTGCACGATGCGTACCAACTCAACTAAAACAAATCTACATTATCAGTCATCAAACGTAGTCTACTCATGATGTCGAGAAGAAAGGCGAATGCCAATAAGCAACATGTTTTCAACTTCGATGATCACACAGGCCGACCAGCCAAGATAAGCTGTAGTGCTCACCTAAGAGATATCCTACCATCTCTTTCAAGTTTATGCTTATATTTTATTTATCTAGATTTTCCTTAAGATAATCTTAATCTAAGACTTCTTTAGGACTTACAGGAAGGGGATAATAATCCTTTTTAATTTAAGATAGTCTATATCCCTAGTGCTACTAATATTAACTATGCCTAATATTACTAGGATAAATTTAAGGCCTATAGTAATATATTTTAATAGTTTTAAGAGATCTAGAGGGCTTATAAAGAATAGGAGGATTAGGATAAGGATATTTTATACATAATTAAGCAAGAACCCTATAATAAGCTTCCTGGCCTTATCTTATTATATAAGTATATATATATAGCTTGTTATAGTATTATTAGTTTATATAAGGATCTGGTATAAAACTATTATAATAATAAGGAAGTATTTAATATTATTTAATTAGATCTAATAATAGTTCTTAAAGATTATAGGCCTAGTAAAAAGATAAAACTGCAAGAACTTATTAAGACAATATAGGCCTAAAATTATTTAGTATATTAGTATATAAATATTAAGGCTATAGTTTAAGGAATCTCTTAAAATTACCTTAAAAGATACTTTTACTTCTTTATATAAAAGGTTATAAGTGCTAATAAAATAATTACTTAGCTTCTTAGTAAAAATATAATAAAGGGGTTTTTTTTTTTTTAAAGAAATTCTTAAGTATATAGATTTATTAGCTAAGGGTTAAGGCATATTTTAAATAACTCTATACTTATGCCTAATATACTACTTAAAATATAATTAATATTAGCTTAAAATAATAAAGAAACTATATATAAATATAATTTAAAAGTGTTATGACCTATGCAGCTATATTACGTGGCCCCTATAATTTCCACTAATTAATATAGGATTACTTCTCCCTATAATAATCCTCTTCTATTAGATTACTTAAATCACGGCGGTCTAAGGCTGGATTACTATAAATCACTAGCAATCCTTATAAATCTAACCCTTAGATTACTTTTATTCTCTATTAAGCTATAAGGCTACCTCTAATATATAAATTATATTTATTAATACTTTTATAAAACTTAGCTTATTAGCTATTAATAAGACTTTTTTATATTAATAAGCCTAATAAGTATTACTTAATTATTAAGAGATATAATAACTAACTTACTTAATATAATGCTTTATATAATCTTTAAATATAAACCTAATATAAACTAGTTTCTCTATTTAAAACCTATAACTATTATATATTAATAGCTCTTATTTAAAACATACTGCATTAATAACTAAGTAATATTATATTATTAAGATATCTAGCAATACCGGCCTAGCACCTCCTTATACTAGAGCACTACCTAGCGCCACTAAGATAATAGCTAAAGTTTAATAGCTTCGCAATACTATCTACACTCTACAGGCTTAGGTAAATGCATATCCTGCTATAACTGCTAGCAAAGGCAATAACAAACAGGACCTTAGAGAGGCACTTAAGCCTCCTAAGCCAGAACCCTTTAGAGGCTAAGCTGCAGATATAATCCCATTCCTAACCTAAATAAAGGCTCACTTCTGCCTCTATAAGAATAAACTAAATACCCTTATAAAGAAACTCCTATATACTATAAGTCTAATTTAGGGAGATATAAAGGATTAGTTTAAACCTATTTTAAGAGACTTCCTTAAAAATAAAAAAGATATATAAGATTAAGATACTTAGAATATCTTTAGAAACTAGGGAAATTTTAAATAAGCCCTTAAAGATAATTTCAAAGTAGTTAATAAAGAATAATAAGCTATAGTAAAACTACTTATACTTAAGTAGCATAAGTCTTATATAGCTTACTTTACTAAGTTTAAATAGCTTATATCTAAGACTAAATAAGATAATAAGGCTTTAATAGAAATCTATTATAAAGGACTAAAAGAAGAAATTAAAGATAAACTATACCTAGCTAATAGGCCTAAAGAAGGTCTAGTAGTATATATTACTATAGCTATTAAGATTAATAAATAACAATATAAATGCAAAAAAGAGAAAGTAAACTATAAATAGGGTAATAACTTTAATCTATATTACCCTAACTAGTAATATAATAATAATAACTAAGGTAACTCTTAAAACTAAGGATAGTAATAAGGCAATTAATTAAATAACACCTTATATAAAACGCAGTTAAGACCTATAGTACTTAAAGCTATACAACCAGGTAACTATAATAATCAGCAGCAAGACATATCTAGATATAAGTATTATAACTGCAACCAGTTTAGACATATAGCACGATATTGTCCGGAGCCCAGGAAACCAAGAGACCCAAACCAAGGTAAGCAAACTCTAGGACTAATTAGATAATAAGACCCTTAGATAGCTATATGAACATAAATACTAGGAGTAACCAAGAATAGTTATAATGTTATAGGCCTTAGGGCAATAAAGAAACCAGAGTGGAAGCCATACCCGGACAGCTCGGTCAAGGAACTACAAGACCTATTCCTTATATATAATAAAGCTATAGAAGCCAGCGCTATAATTAAAGGAAGGTATTCCAAAAACATAGAAAGTACCAAATTCAAGGAATAATAAATAGCTTACTATTAAACTAAGAAAGATAGATAAGAGAATAACCTAATATACTAAGCTAAGGAAAATACTTAGTATTAAGAAAACTACTAAAAATAAAAGCTTGGAGAACCTTAAACCCTTAAAGTTATTAGAGAAAGAAAGGCACCCATCCTTAATACAGATAAAGAAGCCAAGTTAACTAGTAAGATAGATAATATTCCTACTAAGGTTATAATAAATAAACTATAGATAAAAGAAGAAACCTTTAATAAGGAATAAGAAGTAGGAAATAAAATATATACCTATTACTATTAATACTCTTGAAATATAAGACATAGAGGAGGCGTAGCGCAAGTAACTGCATAATACCTACATAAGGAAGATGAATGACTTAAGAATAAGTAAAAGCAAATATATAAACCACTATTCAACGAAGTCGGGATAAGGATATATCTCTTACTAGAAGATAGATATATATAAGGAGCTAGGGAATACAGAAATACCTAAGAAATTAAAACAATATATATCAGAGCTTATTATATTAATAATGCTATAAATTTACTATATAAGGAAAAGAAATTTAATAAACAAGATAATATTAAAACTCTTCCTACTTATAAAGAATATATAGAAATCTTATAGATATTATGTAAATTATATTAATATAAAATATATAAACAAGCTAAACTTAATAATAATTATTTCCTTATAATAATACCTAAAATACCTAATAATAGACCCTACTTAAGAAATAAAATAAAGGGATACTTAGTATATATATAATATAATAACCTTAGAGTAGCAGAACTATAATTCAATATAGCATACTACTAACAGATCTATAAAACTAAGGAACTACTAAAAGGAATTAAGCACTCTTAGTAGCTAATTAAAGAAGCTAAGAAAGAGTTTAAGGAAGCAACTTAAGGAAAGTATGCCTAAAAGAAGGCAGAAATAATAAAATAACACTAAAAATAAAAGAAAGAATACTAAGAATAGATTAGTAATAGATAATATAACTACTTAATAAAAAAACAAATTAATAATAAATAAATTAATTACTTAATAAGATAATTAATTATAAGTAATATAAACTTAGAAACTACTAAAGAGCTATAAGGCTAATAGGAAGCTAATAGACTTTACCTATATAATAACCCTATAAATCCCCAATAACTTAATAAGATTATAACTATAGAAAATACAGATAATAATAAATTATTACTAAAAAAGAAATATATCTTTAAACCTATTAACCTTAAGAAAGGATTTAATCAGGCCCTAACTAATAACAAATAATCCAAATAAGGAATTATAATAGATAAATAAGATATAGAATTAGAAGAATATTTCCAGCAATAATTATATAATAAAGAATTTATTAATAACTGCCCTAACAGAGAAGGGTATAATAACAGCAAATGCAAACAGATATACCGAGATATATTAGGAAAAGTTATATACTATCTATAATAAAGCATTAGATAGGCAAAAAGTAAGGATAAGAATAACTTAGACTAATAAATGCTTTAAGATTATATAAAGAACTTATATTAAAATGCCTAATATTAAAAGTTTAAATTAAGGGAAAATAGCTAGATACCTAGATTAATTATAAAGCTAAATAAAACTTTATTAACCTAGAAATAGTTATATAGCTAAAATTACTATAGAGAAAGAAATAAAAACCCTACCTGCTAATTAATATAAAAGGATAATTATTTAATTATAATAATAAAATTATAAATTAAGAGATTAATTACCTTAAGGTCTTTATCTAAGGAAAAAATTAAGGAATAAATTTTAATATCCTTCCTCTAGATAAGGAAGTTAATATCCTCTTTAATATAAATTAGCTATAAAAGAAAAACCCTTATATTAACTAAAGGACTAGCTAAGTTACCTTTTCTAATAACGCTAATAGTAATAATAAAACAATTATAATAAATAATAAAAAATCTTAAACCCTAACTAAAGAGGATAATAAGGAAAAGCATAAAGTAAAGAATTTACTACCTCTAATAAGAGCACGATATAAGTATATAAAAGGCAAGAAATAATAAAACTATTAAATCCTAGGTCTCCTTAAAACCTAGCTATATAACCTAGATAAATAATTAAAATTGCAAAAATAACTTAAAGAAAGAAAATAGTAAAATAGACTTAAGAATATTCTAGAGGAATATTATATTTATAAGAAACTATTTAAAAAAGAACTTAAAATAAAGGTATTATAATACAGCTGCTAGGATTATAAAATATAGCTTAAAATAGATAACTTACTATTTTAGAAAATTTATAACCTTAATAAAAAAGAACTTATTACTTTAAAGGAATACCTAGAAATAAAACTAGTAAAAAGAAATATTAAGATATTTATATTACTAGCAGGATTTCTAGTAATGTTTATTCCTAAGAAAAACAGAAAACTATAACTTATTATAAACTATAAGAAGTTAAATGCCCTTATAATTAAGGATAAGACCCTACTTCTACTTATTATAGAACTTAAGGACTATCT